GGGGTTTTGGGGGGATGGCAACAAGGATAGAGGGCGACCGAGAAAGACTGGATAGATGGAATCAGGGAGACATTAACAACTCACGGCATCCCCCTGACCCAAGCTCTCCGGCTGGGGGCAGAGAGACGTCTCTTTCTTGCCGTGACACCCAAAAGGGTATAAGCGGCGGATAAAAGTTTTTTTTTTTAGGGGGTTGGCAATATCTAACACAATTTTGTCCCCCATTCTGAGTTCGAGAATGCTAAGGAGAAATATGTTTCGGAGAAAAGATGACAGTAACAGAGGAAAGAGATTGACAATAAAACATTGAGCTTTCGTCGTTTTAATATAAGCTGAAATAAAAATTAAAAGATTCTTAGGTTCTACAAGTCTGGTTCTGTCAATACTAATGGGCGAAGGCTCTAATCATATCAATCCCTGCCAGGTGTAAAGGAATCCAGTAGAATGAAGATAAAGTGGTGGTATCATTTACTGCGACATCTAAGAAGATCCCTAAAAGTGTCCCTGTATTTGGTGCTCATGTTGTAGTAGACCACCGCGTTAATGCTGGAGTTGACTGTCTCCGTGAGCATGCCCAGACTGGCCAGGAGCCAGGTGAGGTTGGCATAGCGACCTATCACTGTCAGCTCGGGTTCCACAGAGCGCGCCACAAGAAGAGCGCTGATTGGCGAAGTGCAGAAGATAAAGATTCCGGAAATGACACAAATCATCACGACCACCTTACGATTTTTTCTAGACATCTGGCCTGGTGTGTTGGCTTCACTGGACACTTTCTCGCGCCATTTGTCTTTCTCTTTGAGTTTCACCGCGATGATTAGCGTGCAGACAACTACACATCCGAAAGATAACAACGGCACTAGAGCGTCAGTAACAAAGAGAGAGGATCCCATGACCTCTTTTCCGTCGGCTGTAAACATCAGACCGAGAAGAGTTCTGTTCTTGGTAGGGTAAAACTTCCAATCAAAGTAAGAAGTGAGATATCCTGGTAAAATAGAAGGAATTATAATAATGTATATTCCTATCGTTACAGCAATGGCAACTCTTCTAGTTATCAGAGATTTCACCTTTAACGGTTTTGCAATACAAAGACACCTCTCAAAAGTTACAAAGGCCGTGATCCACCCGGCTGTCTTGGTAAAATATCTACGGGGGTATCCAGCGGTGAGGTTTTGTATCTCCATAGAACTAAATGGAATGTCTGAGTTCTCAAACCACGGATTAACACAGATGTTGAACCACTGCTGGGCAACAAGAGCCCCTAAATCACTGATCGCCAAAGCGAAAAGGCTGATGTTGACAGTGTCATCAAATCCGTGCTTTTTGAAGATGATGATGCTGGCGATATTGGCGCCGATACCGAATAGACACACGATTTGACCGATGACGACGAGGCAAGTAACGATAAATGAGTGCCGGACCTCAGCACTGACCAGACCCCTAGATTGCTCGTGGGAGGTGTCTGTAGCAGTCAACCTGACTAATGAAATGTTAGTTGAACTGAGAAACATGCTCGTTGTTAAATTCATGCTTGAAAGACAAACAACAGAAAGAGCTGGATCCTCAAACAACAGAACAAGTTCATGGCTTCCACAATTTTGTTACCACGTTACATTTTTGTTGGCCTTTACAAAGGATGCTTTTGTAAGACTTTTTAATTTTCAAACTTTCGTATTAGAAATTTTTTTCAAGGAGGACATTTCCCAAAGCATATATCGTCATCGCACTCTATTTTTATTCTCTATAACGCCTGGCGCTACACTTTACTACAGAATGTTGCTTTGCAGAATGTTGCCTAACGCACAAATGCTAAATAAAATCAAAGATCCTTTTTTATAGAGAAGAAAGCAATATTATCTTCACTGACTCATTTGGGTCAAAATATAGTCGGTCGTAAAAACAAGTAATGTGTAAGGGGTCCACTTTAACTTAAAAGGGGGCTTGGATGTAATTGGAAGAGGTTGTGTTATTTGACGAAAATCGTGTGCTATTATGATTTTGTCTGATAAAAAAGGGAAGGATAGACTTTTATGGCAAAGTACAGTGATTCGCTTGTTATTAACAGTATTTAAAAGGACGAGAGTAGAAGGGAATCAAATGTGACGATGAAGGAATTAGATGACGAGAGGGACGGAGACAAGTGTTTGAAAAGAGCAGGGTGTTAATCTGTGCACATGTCCTCCATACCTTTTACGTTTGGTTATTATCGTTCCCAATTGCTCCCTTTTTCGTGTTTTTTTTTGGTGTTTTTTTTGGGAGGGGGGTGTTGGGGGGATGCATGCAGTTTGGGGATTTGGGGGGAGGGGGGGGGGGGTTACTGGCACGTCTATGAAGAGAATTACTGCCTTCCCGCAGGCCCGCATAATAATAGCTTCTTCTGATGATCGATTTTGAAGAACGACAACTGGTTGTTACAAAGAGAATGTACGGCATGATTGTTGATTCCACACAGTTTTGTAACAATGAAAGGCATTAAGACAAGATCCACTTTGAAAATGAATATTAATTCTTCTAAGCGTTTTGCCAAAGCCTCTGGAAAAAACAGGAATCAACACGAAGAAAGGTGATAAGCGATAATTAAACCTCCAGCTCATCCTTGAAATTAGGTTCCTGAACTACCTCATTTAGGAGAAATAACAAGCGCTTGATGTCGTAACAGAATTCACGTGTCTTCTGGATGCTCCAACTATGCCAACTCTAGAAAACAATTACGAGTACAAGTATTATTTTCGCTGGTTTAAGTGGAAGCAATTAGTGCTTTCAGTGTGGATGAGGCATCAGGTATCAAGCTCATCCATTATCTCTACATACTTTTTTATCTCGACCCTGTTGGTTGGGAGGAATAAAATGGCGTACTTCTAACTAAAAGGAGGTGAGGCCACTCATGTGTGGACATATTATGTTAATTGATACTAGGATGTAATATGTGCAAAGCTTACTTTGTTGTGTTGTCTCTTTCTTCTTCCTACGTTCTGTCTTCTTTATTCCCACCCCTTCCCCTACCAGATCTGGAGATATAGATGGTCCGATTTTCCTCCAGTCAGTTTCGCAACACCATTGCTAGTGGAGTATTACGTATGTGTTGTTCTCTCTTGTCCAGGACTGTTGCGTACTGATCTGTCTTTCGAGAGCTCGACGTCGCAGCAGCGGCAACTGCAAAGTACAATAATACCCCCTCTCCTTGGGGGGGGGGGGGGAATCTCGCTGTTTGAGATTGTCCTTCGAGATATATATAAATATACAATACAGTGTATATATATATACATATATATATATATATACATATATATATATATATATATATATATATATATATATATAGAGAGAGAGAGAGAGAGAGAGAGAGAGAGAGAGAGAGAGAGAGAGAGAGAGAGAGAGAGATCACTTCTACAGCATCCACTCCCTGGTGGCTCTAGGAGCTTCACAATAGAATAAGTCATAAATCTAAATCAACGTTTCATCCGTACAGACTCATTCAACGTACAACCATTATTTCAAATACATCATATACATTCGCAATCGGATGAAGAACAGGCACACAAAAAGAAAAACACTGTGACTACTGATACCATCTGTTGCTAGAAGAAGAATAAAACTAGACAGTAAAAGAAGCTTTAAATAAGTAACGTCTTTTCCGACAAAGTTGGCGCTTGTCTTAAAATGCAGTTGGAGGACATTCCACAACGAGGAAGCAGCTGTCGGAAAAAACCTACCTCTAGAAACAAAGCGCAATCTTGAGTTGGGTTGTTGTTGTTGTTGTTGTTGTTGTTGTTGTTGTTGTTGTTGTTGTTGTTGTTGTTGTTGTTGTTGTTGTTGTTGTTAATGGGTCGTAAATTTCCAGATGTAATATACTAATGTATTGAATTTGAAAGATTTGTGGTGCTAGGTCGTTAAGACACGTACAACACATGACGGCAACTTAATGTAGCCGCATGATCAATAGTGTTGAGCGTTCTCTTATAGGCCTTTTGAGAACAACTATCGCGGGCTTGGTTCTGGAGTCTTTGCCATTAATTCATTAAGAAGGAGTTGCGATAGTCAAAACGAGATGGTACAAAAGATGACATCAGCGTTTTAAGAGATCCCTCGCTTAAAGAAAGTGCCTTTTGTGAAATTTTTTGGATCCCTAAATATGCAGCCTTACATCGATAGTGGACATGGTGGTGAATAGGCAATGTTTGCTTATATAAAAGAAGAGCACAGATGCAGGCCACTGATTTGCAAAGTCAAATTATTCATTTCACTATTTAATAAATATTGGATAGATCTGACTATTTTAAGGGATATCTAAATTACAAAGAACTCAAATCAGGCCAATTATAGATGCCTGCCTCTGCTATCTAGCCGTGCAGTCTCGGCATTGAGAACAATAGGACTGACGTGGTGCTAGCGTGTCGTACGAGGCGACTAAATGGCGAACCAGGTACTCCTGAAACAGAGTCATCCTGCCTCCAGGTCGGGGGTTGAGTCACGAGGCTAACAACCTCTCGTAAAAAGAACCTGTTACAGAAACACATACAAGCAAAAACCATTGTCTCTGCTTGGCTGATCGTGAATCTTCTCCAAATGGAGAGTTTATTATGCAAGGCAGTAAAAGCCGAAAGGAAGCTGCTGGGCAGAGGCCTCCACCATCATCCAAGTCCAAGTCTCTTCGGATCGGCTCGTGAAACGTTAGGACCCTTTATGAGGCTGGAAAAACTGCACAAGTTCTCCAAGAAATGCACCAATACCAACTACACATACTGAGAATCAGCCAGACCCACCTGAACCATTCTGGACAGAAGCGAATGAAAGAGGGGGAGCTTTTCATTTATTCAGGAAATGACACTGATGGACCACACAGGGAAGGAGTAGGGATGATCACATCAAAAACAACTCAAAAGACATTCAGGGGCTGGGAAGCACATGGTCCAAGGATCATCATGGCCTCATTTGGAACTAAGAAAGAACTCAAGGTAAGAGATGGTAGGAAGAAGGTAATAAACATGAACATCATACAAGTGTATGCTCCAACCAATGATGCAGAAGTGGAGAATAATGATGACTTCTACAACCCCCCGCAGAGCGTCATCGACAAACTTCCAAGTAACGACATCAACATTGTCATGGGAGATCTAAATGCAAAGGTAGGTTCGGACAATAGTAACAATGAGGAAAGCATGGGCAGACACGGATTAGGAGAGGCAAATGACAACGGAGAAAGGTTCCAAAACTTCTGTACATTCAACAACCTGGTCATTGGAGGTACAATCTTCCCACATAAAAGGATTCACAAGGCCACTTGGGTCTCCCCGGACGGAACAACGTAAAACCAGATCGACCACTTTTGCATCTCCCGAAAGTTTAGACGCTCACTGGAGGACGCCCGAGTCTTACGAGGAGCAGACGTCGCACCAGACCACCATTTGATCCTTGGAAAGATGAAACTAAAACTGAGAAAATATGCACAAGTCACAGCTGAAAATCATTTAAGTATGAAGTGAACCTTCTGAAAGACCCAGTAAAGAAGATTGAGTTCAAGTTGGAACTGAAGAACAAATTTCAAGCCCTTCAAGATCTGGATAAATGTGAAGTCAATAAGATAAGAGAGGCTGTAAATGCAACTTGCCATAGCACCCTAGGACCCAAGGACAACACCAGGAATGAATGGATTTCACAGGACTCTCTAGACAAAGGCAAAAGAAGAAGAGAGCTGAAGCCCCAAGTCAACAACAGCCGTACCCGAACTGAGAAACTCGCTGCACAACAAGAGTACACTGAAGTAAACCGGGAGGTAAAGGATTCCATCAAGAAGGACAAGAATACTTAATGAATGGCCTGGCCGAAAAGGCAGAGAAAGCAGCAAGAGACGGGCACTTGCGAATTGTACACCAGACTACAAGAACTCTTTCAGGTAGGTTCAGCAAGTCCACTCTACCAGTGAAAGGCAAAGAGGGAAAGACTATCTTCAACCCAGAGGGGCAACTTAACCGATGGAGAGAACACTTTGATCAACTATTGAACAGACCACCTCCAGAAAACCAACCAAAAATTCTTCCAGCCAGAAATGACCTCCCAATAGTTACGGAACCACCTTCAAGAAAGGAAATTGTAGCCGCTATAAAAACACTGAAGTCCCACAAGGCAGCTGGTCCCGACCATATACCACCGGAAGCCCTTAAGACAGAGAAATATACGTTAGCCGAAATTCTCTATGCTCTATTTGAAAATGTTTGGCGAAAGGAGGAAATACCATCAGACTGGAAGGAAAGCCACCTAATCAAGCTACCAAAGAAAGGAGACCTCAGCTATTGTAACAACTACAGAGGCGTTACACTCCTGTCCATACCTGGGAAAGTCTTCAACAGGATACTCCTGGAGAGAATCAAGCTGGCAACAGATGAGAAGCTTCGAGGAAACCAGGCAGGATTCCGCAGAAACCGATCATGTGTGGACCAGATCGCTACTCTACGTATCATTATTGAGCAATCGCTTGAATGGAATTCACCACTCGTGGTCAACTTCATTGACTATGAAAAGGCGTTTGACAGCGTGGACAGGGAAACTCTGTGGAAACTCATGCGCCATTTT